CGCCCGCCTCCCCGCCTCCCCTCCGGCTCTCTAGGCGCCCGGGCTCCCGGCGCGGTGGCGGACGGTGATGTGGCGGGACTCTTTGTGCACTGCGGCAGGATACGCGTTCGGGGGGCCGGGACGCGGCTGCGCTCAGTGCTCTCCTCTCGGAAGCTGCAGCCATGATGGAAGTTTAAGAGTTGAGCCGCTGTGAGGCTAGGCCCGGCTCAGGCGAGGGAGATGAGAGACGGCGGCGGCCGCAGCCCAGAGCCCCTCTCAGCGCCTGTGAGCAGCCGCGGGGGCAGCGCCCTCGGGGAGCCGGCCGGCCTGCGGCATCGGCAGCGGCGGCGGTTCTCGCCTGCTCTGGGGCTCCTCTTCTAACCGCGCCGCTTCGTCTCTGCTTCTCCTGAGAGGAACGGTGGAAGCCGCGGGCTCGGGCGGGAGCCGGCGAAGGCTCGGCGGCGGCGCCTCCCGCTCCTGGAGCGGGGGGTAGAAGCGGCGGTAGCCGCGGCGGCGGGGAGGGGGCCCGAGTCGCCTGTCACCATTTCCAGGGCTGGGGACGCCGGAGAGTTGGTCTCTCCCCTTCTCCTGCCTCCAACACGGCGGCGGCGGCGGCGGCGGCACCTCCAGGGACCCGGGCCGGCTCTAAGCCTCCCCTCCGCCGCCGCCGCACACCCCCCGGCCCGGGCTCAGGAGGCTGCTGCAGGAGGCAGCCGTTCCGAGGATTGTTCGTGGTATCCCCATCCCGCTGCTGCCGCTGCCAGGCCGCTGGCTGCTGAAGAGAAGCAGGCCCAGTCGCTGCAACCATCTAGCAGCCGCCGCAGCAGCCATTACCCGGCCGCGGTCCAGAACCAAGCGGCAGCAGAGCGAGGGGCATCGGCGACCAAGTCCAGAGCCATCTCCATCCTGCAGAAGAAGCCCCGCCACCAGCAGCTTCTGCCATCTCTCTCCTCCTTTTTCTTCAGCCACAGGCTCCCAGACATGACAGCCATCATCAAAGAGATCGTTAGCAGAAACAAAAGGAGATATCAAGAGGATGGATTCGACTTAGACTTGACCTGTATCCATTTCTGAGGCTGCTCCTCTTTGCTTTTCTGTCACTCTTACGAAGTAGGAGTAGACGGATGCGGAAAATTCCCTTAGTTTGTGGGACTATAACATTTAACCCTGGTCACATTTCTCGCACAGATATTTTTGCTTCTCTTTTCAGTGTATTCATCATAGGGTGTGTTTCGCTAGACGGAACTCAAGGCTGGTTGGAAGTGTCAGTGCACAGATTGGTTTCTTAGTCTGACTCTGTGGTTTCTTCCTGAGGGCTATTGTCCGTTAATACAGAATACAGTACACTGGTAGTGGATTAGCGAGCTCGGTAATCCGGTCTAATAGATGAACAAAAAAGTAGACGCTTTGAGGTTCAACATATTTTGATTAAATCTTGGCTTAGGCCCTTGATCAAGGGTATAGATCAGATTAAAATGAAAATTAGTGTTGTACGTACACGTATTGCATCAGAATCTTGCAGTGATTGGTTTTAGTTTCCTGGGTTGCATTGATAGATACTTTTAAAATGTGAATTGTGGACTGATTTGCATAACTTTAAAAGCAGAATCCTTTTCAGCCTACGTGGTGAGCATTTGTGGGCAAAGGTAGGTTTGTATGTTTAAACTAAGTTATAACTTTGAATTGCATTTAGAAGTTTTGTAGTTTGAAATCAATAGTGCCATAATATACCTTATAAGGAACTCTTATTAGATGTTTGTTAAATTGGTCTTTTTCTTTTCTGACGAGGCAGTGCAAGATAGGATATGAAATTTGCTTTTCAGTAGCATTTTATTTTCAGTGGTCTTGTCATACGTAAGAGAATAGAGAATAAGTAGTTTTTGATTCGAATGATAGTGTCCTGTAGGTTCAAGGGTATTGTGTGCAGCAGATGATGATTACAGATATTAAACTTGAACTCTCACTTGAAATTTAAATATTGTGAACCAGAATTACTATTCTCGCCCTGTTTTTAGGTGTTCTGACACCTTTTAGGTATCCGTTAATTTTACTCTGGTCTATGTATAAGGTCAGGTGTAATTTACCAGCGAATATCCAGAAAGGCTGGCAAGAATGAATTCCCTTGCTTCAGGTGTAGTAAGTATGTTAGCTTTTTGCATACAATGTATTAAATTCACTGAGTTAGCTCGTTGAGTAAGACAGAAACCCAAGAATTTTAATGGTGTATAGTTCTGTTTAAAAGTTAGGCTTTTTACTTCAAAAAGTTAGTGGATATTGAAAAACAATAATCTTTGCAGTTTCAGCTAAAACAAACTGATTTTGATCAGGGATGGTGATAGAGCACTCCCTTTTGGGGAATGGAAAGTATTGACAGGAATTGAGAGCTATTGGTGGGCCAGTAAGTGTATGAATATAAATTATTGGTCTGAAGTGACTGAAGCATTTAAGATCTATGAAGGCTGCTTTTAAGACTCCAAGTTTGTTGCTGTGAACTGTAGCAGTGGAAATACAGTACTTAGTTAAAATTATGTAATTGCCAGTTAATTTTTTTTTTTTTGTGAGCTAGGGTTTGAACTGAGGGCCTTTCACAGGGTGAGCACACTACCACTGAGCTACACTAGTCCTATAAGGTATTCTAACTAAATTATTTCTTAACAAATACCAGTAAATATTTTGTTTCAAGGTAGAATGACACTAAATTCTGTATCTCCTGCTGATGTGGGGAGTATTTTTTTTTAAAGAAAATGTCCGATTTTTTGGAAGAGGTTTTATTCTTTTGGATATTATTAGCTGCATACAAACATGCATAGTTAATTTTTCCATTTTTGTCTTAAAATGAAGATGAAATTATTGGAGAAGTAACTTTACAAGATTTAAGTTTTCTGTTAAAAATAGTATTTTAAAAGGATATAGTATTAGGAAATTTTGGAGTCTGCATTAATTGAAAAGCTTTTCTGCAGGCTGAACTTGATCACCTTGCCCTAAACATAGTTGAGGAAGAATTCTGATTTGTGACTTAACTTCAAAAGCAGCATATTATTGGTGTGAATAAGGACAAACTTTTAGATACATAAGAATAAATTAGGTTTCTATATAACAAAAAAAACCCATACAAAGAAATTATTAGAATTCTCTGGTATATTTCTTTCAGCTTTAGAGTGCAATTATGCTATTTTTACTTTTCCCACTCTAAAATTGTGAGGGTTTATATATGACCTTAATATTATTTTGCCAGATCTTTATATGTGAGCAAAGTCATAATATGTGGGCCTCTGCATATGAAATTTGTATGACTTAAAACTCTCTCTAAAACTGTACTTTTAGTTATGGTATGCATAGAAAGTAGCATCAAATGACTAATAACACTAAATTTCTAGAGTTGTGGTTTTATTGAGCAAAATATTGATATGAAAAACGTCAGTGAAGTCCTTGCTCTTTTGACAGTTGTATTCCAAGTAATTTTGATACTCCAAAGCACTTTGATTTGCTTGGTTTCACTTCAGTGTTTTCCTTGGGGGGCCTTTAAAATGGTCATTGAAGACTTTGTCTTGGCAGGTTGTAGTGTCTATTTCATCCACTAGCCTGGTGAAAGTTAAATTCCTTATGAAAACATGAATGGAATCTTTTTATTTGCTAATGAAGTGATTTCTCAGACTGAAGCTGTAGATGATTCAGTTTTAAAATACTGTGCAAAATTGAATTAAGGTAAGAATTTGTTAGTGGAGCTTTAATAATAGTCTGGAAAGTACTGATGAATATGGGACTAAAAAATTTAGTGTCTAGAGTATGTGGAAACTTTAGGTTTTTGATGCAGTTTTATTATTTGGTAGATTTGCATTTTTTCAGACATAGATGTTCCTTGGGAATATTTTTAACTTGTAGAGTGTACAGTGACCATTAAAGTTAGCTATAATTTTAGGCTGTGATTATTGAAATTAATTAAAAGGTTTTTAAAACTATTCACAATCTTTTATGTTGACTAAATTACATCTTTTGAAAAACATGACTGGATTACCTAATTGCTGTAAAATAATTTACAAACTTCATTTTATAAAGCTTGTTCAAGAGTAAAGTTCAGTGGCAAGGGGTAATTTATAGTTTGATGACTTAATATAAAAAAGGAATTTTATTATTTTTATCAATTGTATGCAACAGTACATCAATGCAGATTTATGTTGGTTGTAATATACTAAATATTAAAGATAAATTTGGTGAAGTATAGCCACTTTAATTTTAGACCTAGTTTTAGAAAGACAGAGAAAGATTCATTTGTATTGCCCTTTAGACTTTAATAAGACAAGAAACTGGTGATATTTTTATGTAGAACCGTATACCTGCTTTCTCATAATCACTAAAAAATATGTAAACTTATTAATGTTATGAAATGCTTAACTTTTTGGAAGTGAAGTTTTCAATTCTTGATTTCAAATATTCTTATTTTGGAATTTGCCCTATTTCCTATTTGTTTGGTGATAGCTTAATACCTTTTAAGAAATTTTTAAAGCCACTTCTAAAGAAATCACTTTAGTTACTTTTAATTGGAGGATTATTCATTGTAGGAAAATGAGTTAACAAAGTCTCAACATTAATTCACTCTCAGTAAATATTTAATTTTTAGATTTTTACTTCAATCTTTTTAGTAATAGAAAAATTTGGAAATGTTTTCATATTGATAATGGGTACAAATTCAAAGTTTGTAAAGAAAATTTTAGAAGAGTATATGGTTATGAAGGTGTTGTATTTGCTTGAATTGTTAGGCCTCTGCTATACTTATAAGGCTTTAGTTTCCAGAAGGTACAGTATTAGTGTAGTTTAAGATATTTGTTTAGTACCTTTATTTTTCTGTAGAAACCTTGACTTCAAAAAATTATTCTGAAGTTATATTGTGTAGAACTCATTACTCTTGTTCTCTTCTCGCTGTCTCATTTTTTTGTTAGATACATTTGATATTGAGTCAGCAATGGAGAATTAGAACATTTTGTAGCTTAAATCCATTAAGAAAAGGTGTTAGAATTTGTTTTAGACATAATGGATTGAGATTTGCATCAATTTGTGAGATTATGGTCAGAAATAATTTCTGCAAATATTTGATAGCTTTGAAATTAATCTACTTGCTTTTAGAGATGTCAACAGTGTTGAGGTTAGACTGAATAACCTTAAGTTGGTAAGGATTTGCTGAGCAAACTGATATCCTTAATTCTTTTTTTATAGGCCATATTACTGCCACAAACATTTTTTGCTAGGTGCGTGAAAGTGTTTTGGTCTGTGAATAATGGTTCTCTTTGTAAGTATTGAGTACATGTATTCATTTGTCAGGAAAGGTAAAATTAGTATATTGGATTTGACTCTTCATCTTTTCTTTAATTTCTTTATTGGTTGCAATTTCATTCTTAGAATTTGCACTGGTATGGAAAAGGCTGTGCAAATAATATAAGACATAACTTGGAGTGAGTTAATTTTGGCTGGGAAGTTTTAATTTAGTTCAGAATAGTTAAAGCATAGAAGAGTTAAGCCTCTTTATTTGCAACAGGTAACATTAGGACATGGGGAGATATCTTCAGAATAGGAGGTATACACTTGTTGATAATGTTGAGATTGTTGAGAAATGGTTATTGTAGCTGCACCTGCTACCCAAAGAATGTCCTTGATCTGTACATAGTATGGAAAAGAAGACTTTATGATTTTTATTTTAAGTAGTTATCTATATAGTTATCAGTAGTCGTTACTTCAAATAACAGTGAGCTAACTTTAGTGTTTGAACTGTGTATATATAAATACAAAGTTAGTGAATTGTCTTAATATTTCTAAAAGTGAATTTTCTTGTTTTTTTTTTTTTTCTGTACTGGGGATCGAACACAGGACCTTGTGCTTGCCAGGCAGGCACTGTGCCACTCAGCTACAT